TTAAATACAGAAAACTATTTGGGGTCTCCCACATTGTGCTCTACTAAATGACATTTAAAACAACTGCGTGATGCTAGCCAATATAACAATTGTGCTAGAACTTCCTCGTTTTGCTTTGTGCACTGTAGCAGCATTAATATTAACGTCTCCAAGTCGGAAATAAGCCCTCTACCGCCTTCATTTTATAACATGCTAGAGAAACTGGAGTATCATGTCTAGATTTCTAAGACAATATTTAAGGCACTTTTTCTTCTCTCTCCTAAGAAAAAGCACATTTATTAGCTGTCGATCTAATACAGGACCTGTGGAGTTCTACAGCATAGTTTGCAACAATCTTCATCTTTAATACGCATCACAGAGATCACCAGCAGCAGGCCGTATGCCTGTATCAAGACTGAGCACTGTGTGCTACACCTACAGTTTCTGCAGCTTTGCCGATGTAGAGGGGCAGCTAAAATCAGCTGTCCTTCATGCAAATTAAGTGCTGCCCTCAACCTCCTGTCAAGTTGCCAATACAGCCCTTCAGTCAAAGTTTTGGATGCTTCTTTATTACCCAAAATATATACTATGAAAAGTACAAAGGAAAAAGGCAGTGTAGGAACATTTAAAGAATCAAGGTATTACCTGCAGTACTTTCAGCTGTATTTAATTTCATTGCCAAGATCCTGACAGCAACATAAGAATTGCTGCCTGGAATACTGAAACAGATGAAAAGCTTTTCATTTTAATCCTGTGGGATACATTTCATTATTACAGACAATGAAGTAACAATTCTTACTAATGCTAGAGGTTTTACCAGCCCTCTAGAAAAAAATCAATTATGTATATATGGAGAATATTAGCAGTATAGATACAATCCAGATGTCTACATCATTGACTGACTGATTTTTTCTGATTCCCATTTTGAGACTCAGGAAATTCCCAGTTCAATTAAATATACAGCTTTTAGGATGCACTTATGAAACATTTGCTGTCCTTAAACTCAAATGTCAGGGGTTTGATTTTTCTTTGCAAAAGCAATGTAAAAACTTACAGGAAGCTTGCAGCCTTCTGCAATGAAGGCACCTACAGCTACTGTGGAGAAAGAGAGAAGGAAAGGAAAGGGAAATTTTGTGGTTTGATCTCAAGCTTGCAGGCCCCAGATATGTGCTTTGTTTTCTTATTAGGGAGGGGACGTCTGCTCAGATATGCAGCAATTTGTGTCCACTCTACCATAGTCTAGTACTATCAATGCCCTCTGGTGGCCATTTGGGGGCTTGAACATAGAATCGAGGATGACAGACAAGCTTGCGACTGGGATGGAGAAAGGGATGATTTTTGCAATGTATACATACCCAAAAGAGTAAAACAGAGCATAGCTTTCTTGCCCCACTCCTGAAAGTAGCAATAGTATCAAGTTTTGAAGCAGCATGGTGTACTTGGAAGCAAGTAGCAGACAGCATACCAGTCTGCAGTGGGGTTTTAAAGCCTGACATTTACTTCTCAGCTGACACCCACTCCCACCCAAAGGCTATCATTTGAAAAAACAGGATTTAAATATTTTCCAAACAGGATAATATCTCTCTCACTTTAGGTGAATCAGAACAATGCAGGGCTTAAAAAACTGTCTTCACAGGCTATCTAGACTTCAATTCAATGTCATTTTCACTCCTACAGCCTTCAGGGTTACATCACAACTGAAAGCCCTGAAGGTTTGAGAGTTCTGCCAAAAGATGGAGATTAAACAGGTACACACAGCAGCCAGCTGCAAAAACATACAGAAGGCTTTGTACACACCCAAAGCAATCCTCCAGCATTATGTAAAGACCACAATGTAGTAAGAGGATTACCTGGAATTTGCCAAAATTATATCCAGCAACTTGCTAGGTATACTCTAAAACTTCCTAGGAATTGATATCCCAATGCGGAAAGCACCACTTGAGGGTTTTCTAAAATTAACATTTAGTCTCACTTTGAGACAAATTCCCATCTGACTATACTGCTATTCTCATTACCCCTTCTCTTCCCTTACCCATCTCTCAGTATTCAGATGGTTCACACAAGTCCATGCTGGGGCCCATCTGACTGTTTGTTAAGCTCATCTAATCTGGCTCATGGATTTAAAAACAAAACAAAAAAAAAAACACTTTAGCAGAGATGGAATAGCTGAATCCTGACAGGACATATGACTAAACTCGTTTCTGACTGAAGAAAGTCAATCTCAGTAGCAAAGATCCTGCTGTCGAAACACATCCTGGCATTTTAACATGAATAAATTAACAAGTGAGAGCTGAAAAGTCTGATCCATGAAAGTTCATTTCCTCCTTTAGGAAAGGATAAAGCAGTTTTGGAGTCACAATCTGGAGTTTTGAATGTGAAACTCTTGCTAAATGTTATGCAGCAATTTCTGTGCTCAAAAGCTTCATATTACAATCAAACATTAAAACAGAGCCTTATGTTTCACTCCCAGCTAGGCCATTTCATAGAGCACACAGAGTTTAAATCTGATTTATTCTACAGGATTTACTCAGTGGCAGGTAGCACATATTCAACCCTACCTTATATATTGTCAGAAGCATTTTTTAAATCAAGATTTGTTTAACAGTCATAACATGTGGCTTTGATGAGAAACCATGGTCTTTTTCACAAGGAAATTGATCTCCCATCACCTCTTCAAGAAAAAAAAATAGACAACCATCTGAAAGTAGCACATAATGAGATCAAGAGCCAAGAATGGCTTCTAGTAAACTGACACCATTTGAGATTGCAAAGGTTGACAAACCTTAACAGCCAAGCATGTACAAAGAGACAAAAAGATAAAAAAAGCTTTAGTTTATGCACCCACGGTAATCAGGCTCTCCAATTACTTTGGAGAGATCAAAACAACATCAAAGATAGGGATTCTACAATGCTTATGATTTCCATTGCCAGTTACTCCAAGGCAATTTGAACATCCAATTCTTCATGTTTAGAAGCTAACATTAGTATTAACCCTCTGGAATATACCTAATATTAACTGGCTTGTTAGTTTTAGAATAAGATAAAAACAGATTCAATTCAGTCACTAAAAGGATTGATTGCACATCCTGGGCCTTCTAGAAAGCCAAAAGTGCATAGTACAAAATCCTCATATAAAGGGACAGACCTACCGGCAGCTCACGTTAGCATACAGGGGTTCAGAGAGACTCGAGCTCAATTCCCACTTACAGGTCCACAAGTCTTCTTACTGGGTGGCTTATGTAGGTTTTAACTGCCAATTAAACCAGTAAGACGACTGCCAATTGCCTCAGTGGCTAAAGTTGTATATAGAGCACTAAGAGCTCTCATGCTGAACCTTCAAGGGATGGACACCTAAGAGATCACATCCTCAAAGAGAGGCTTGCATTTTAAAGCAACACACATTTCTGTTGTGATATTATAATTTTCAATTTTTTATTTTAACATTAATGGAGAATCTTTCTGGCAGAGGATGCTGTAGCTGTACACCAACTTCAAGAGATTCCAGCAGAAAAACCTCTTTAAAACTAAATCTTTGAAGCTAAATGTGAAAAAGTTCTTTCCCACCCCCACTTTTTTCCCCACAATGCACAAGTCAATATCTACTATTACAAAAATCTGTTAATTAAACCAAGAGGAGTACATGACTAATTGGAGTAATCACATGATGTTTTGCCACAGCCTTCATCCTTCCTCATCCCACCCTCCCCGTTTATCCCCACTCATCACATCATATCTAATATTAGACTAAGCTTTTCAGAGCAGGCACTTTTTTTGGTTCTTTATTGTGAAGTACCTAACTTTCAGATAATGTAAAATAAAATGTATGATGTGGATCAAATTCCTACATGCAGTCCAATGCCACACCAGAGGGGGACTTTAGGACCATCCCTCGTTCTGACTGATGACCATTTTAGTCCTTTTATATTCACCCCCTTTGCCCACCTATATAAGTACCAAGATTAGTGTAAATCTTCTTCCACAATGATGACGTTACCTCGTTAGAGGCAGAGAGTATTTTGCTTTTATTTACACATCATATTTCATGAGAGGATGACAAAGTGCTTCACATAGGTGGGTTTTAGCACCATTTTAGAATTGCAGAATCAGGTACAGGGAAGTTAAGGAACTAGCCCAAAATTATGTGCTGAGTCAGTGGCCAAGTAAAGGAGCAGAATTCAAGGCTCCTGAATCCCAGTCCCTTCCTCTAACTCAGCCAGAAAAACAAAGTCTATTCACTCATTAATCTGGAACAAGCAGATATTTTCCCCCCCATAATCACCAGATTATGTCTGATTTTCATTTGGGCTGGTAAATTTTCAAAGTCATTAGTGAATGATGCCAAGCCTGTTTGTAAACACAGTCAGTGAAGAGTGCTCCCGCAGCAACAGACTAAACTTCTCCTCCCCTCACCCAAAGGTCTGCAAAGCACAATTTGAAGTGATAGAAAGGCAGTATGGCCTAGTGGTTAGAGCACAAGACCGTCAGACAACGTGGATTCTATTCCTCATTTAACCACTGACATTATGGGCAGGACTGCCGAGTGACTTACCCTCTGTGACTCAGTTTCTCCATACAGAAAATGAGAATAATATTGCGCCCCCCCCCCCCCCGCCTTTGTACAGTTATGGGATTTGGGGTAAAAATATTTAGCATATGTAGTAACATTTAGTACTTGTGTAGCACCTTCCATCTGAGGAGGCCAAAGCACTTTACAAGCATTAAACCCCACAATACCAGGTCGTGGGAGTTAGGATTGTTAACTACCCCCATTTTACAGGCTGAAAAATTAAGGCAGAGGGTAAGTGATTTTTTCCAAAGTCAAACACCAAGACAGAGGCAGAGTAAGGATTAGAATCCAGACCTTTTCACTCCCAATCCCAACGTGTAATCATTAGATATTGCCTAGTTTAAAATGGTGTACAAAAAGTTTTAAAAGGCCTAAAACCGTGGAGCCCACTGTTTGCTTACTGTAATATTTATATACGGTGCAACCATTTGGTCTGGTGCTTATAGACACTTACTTTCTACCTGACCACCGTCTGTGTGGGGCTTGCTTTTTGGTTCCTGGCTCTCAGCCTTTGCATCATCATCATCATCCAGTAGGGGGATATAGTCGGTTTTACCCACTGTTTCTCCAACCACGTCATCAAATTTCTCTGCTTCCAGGGTGGCAATGAAGTCTCGTTTCACTTCCTCCTCAATTTCTGCTGGTGGTTCTGTCAGAGCATCTGCAAGACTGAGATTGTGATCCAAGTCAGCCATGCTTTAGCACCTCTGTAACCTGAAGAATGAGAAAGATCATATTTTTAGTAAGAGATCTAATGCTACTAGGAGATTGATGCTGGCAACTGTGTTTACCTGCCTTCACAGTGTTGTAATTCCCAGATGCCTGGAAAACAAAATTAAAGACAACACAGTTCTCCTGAGTCAAGTGTTTTAACTGTATGATCCACATTAAATTTCATATAGTGTTTGCAATCAGAGCATAAAACAAAAGCTACTAGATGGCTAGCAACTAAGAATTAGCCTAACCTTACATTCTGTTCTCATGTCTCCTCCAGAGCCAAGAATTAATTCAGTATCCTCAGCTGCACAAAACCAACTGACACAAGGCAATCTAGTTCTTGGGAAGACACCACCCAGCCTCCCCTATGGAGATTACGTTTTACATAATCTCTGGTGTGTACCTTAAATCTCAGTGTTGCTTTTCATCCCTTCCACAGAGGTTCTGCAGCATGTTTCTGTCCTCAGCAGACCTGGCTAGTGACAGTAAACTTTCGCCTTCCCAGCATTTATGTTGGAAGGTAAAGCTCTAATAAATTAAGTGCTAAACATCTCAATGCTCCTAGTTTAATGACTCAATAAGATAATTGATTGTCCAATCCTTTCCTCTTATGTAGATCAGTGTTCAATGTTGTTCTCTGTGAGAGTCAGCAGACAATTTATATTAATCAACCCACCCGGATTACTGCAGAAGCTCTTTAGGTACACAGCAAACAAACACCTCTTTGTGGGGTGGATTCCTGGATTTTAAAAGAGTTTAAAGAGCAATGCACCAATGAGAGGCAAGGGGGAAAAAGTTGAGCTTTATTGTTCAACAGTCTATCTTCAAATGCTGGTTTTTTTCAGACTAATTTTTAGACTGTTCTGTTCTACAGAAGTATTGAAAGTTCCATTCATATGCCCTGTCCATCCAAAGAACGTCTTCAAGCCTGGACAGAAATAAAAACATATACCACAGGGGTATCTAAATGGGGACATTTCAAACCCCCTCATACACTCAATTCAGTTTACTTCAACTTTTTAAACAATTTACTGTTAAGTATTGAATCCAGATTAGCTTCAGTTAGATTTGCTCCACATTTAGAAGCACGGATAATCTGTGCAAAAAGTTAATGCTCCTTTAAAGATTTAGTTATCCCCTTTTTAAAAATCCAGTAAGCTATTGGTTTTTTTTAAAAAAAGCATATATAAGACAAATGTGGAAGGAAGGAAAAATGAGTACACGTGTAACAACAAAGGTAGAGTACACGTGTAACAACAAAGGTAGAGTTCAACCACCACATTCACTCAACATATAAAATTTATCATAAAGTTCATATGTCTAAACAATATGAGGTCATTATGCATTATGACAGACAAGACCCATTATGGCTGACTAAAATGGTACTTATATCAGTCAGTATTGTAAACACTCTGTGGCCACATAAGACTTAAGAATTGTCACTATGCAGCTCACCATAGTTTTATGGCAACAGCATAACCCAGATCCTTCTGCACCAAAACAGAGCCCCCCCCACTACTTCAGCTGTGGAAAGTCTGTTAACTGTTAGCAGTATATGGCTTCTGACACACAGAAATCCTGACTCCAGCCAGTGGAGTGCAGTGTTACAGATACTTCAGTATATTCCCATGTTTTCAAGAGACTGCTATTTACCCACTTACGTTCAAGCAGGAACTGGAAAGTTTGAAGAGTTTAGCCAAAATATACACCTTTATATATTAGTACCCCTTTTCCAGCACTGGACTGTTAAAAGATCACAACTGCTCCTTGAAGCGTACAAAGCTTTAACAGCTATTTTTTTTTATAAAGCTTAAAGCCTTTCAACTTCAGATTATTGTTTTCTTTTAGCTCCCAGTCCCTTGCCTACTATCACAATAGACAGTGAAAAAAATTGAGGAACAAGATTTGGTCCAGGTCCCATGTTTAAAGGCTTATGGTATTTAAGTATTTGTGGTCAAGTTTTCAGAAACACCTAATGGAACTTAAGATCCTAAGCATATTATGTCACTTATTAAAAGTTTACCCTGGTATTGGTCCGAGCCCTGATAGGTAACAAGATAGCAGACCTTAAAGTGATGTAATTTCAGCCACCACCTTGCCTTATTTCTACTTCAGCAGACTCTTGAGGTTAGTTCCACTATCTCAGGAAAAGTTAGAGCTATAAACAAACACTTTAATCCTTTCATTTGAAAGCTGATGTGACGCACTGGTTTTCTGACACTATAATCTTTAAGTAGCAATTTATGGGATAGTCATTACAAAAATCATGTCACAAAACTGAGTAGTCAGAAAGCAGTTATAAAGTCCAATACATTGCAGCAGAGTTAAGGACCATAAGGAGTGTTTAAAAGTATATTACGAACAAAACAAAACAAAAATCAAAACAATGATATTGGTCCACTCCTAGATGGAAATGGAAAAACGGCCAATAATGCAGAAAAGCCAAGTGTTTAATAAATATTTCTGTTCTGTGTTTGGGAAAAATCTGATGCAGACATATCATGCTGATGAAACACTTTCCTTTCTAAGAGGAGGATATCAAAGAACACCTGCTAAAGTTGGACATTGTTAAATCAACAGGTCCAGATAACCTGCATCCTAGAGTTTTAAGAGAGCTGGCCAAAGAGCTTGCTGGACCATTAAATGTTGGTTCTTAACTCTTGGAACACTGGAAGAATTCCAGAAGATGGGAAGAAATCTAATATTGTGGCAATATTTAAAAAGAATAAAGAGGATGACTGAGGTAACTAAAGACCTGTCAGCCAGATATCGATCACTAGCAAGATGATGATACTAAACTGGGAGGAGTGGTAGATACGCTGGAGGGGAGGGATAGGATACAGAAGGACCTAGACAAATTGGAGGATTGGGCCAAAAGAAATCTGATGAGGTTCAATCAGGATAAGTGCAGGGTCCTGCACTTAGGACGGAAGAACCCAATGCACCGCTACAGACTAGGGACCGAATGGCTAGGCAGCAGTTCTGCGGAAAAGGACCTAGGGGTGACAGTGGACGAGAAGCTGGATATGAGTCAGCAGTGTGCCCTTGTTGCCAAGAAGGCCAATGGCATTTTGGGATGTATAAGTAGGGGCATAGCGAGCAGAGCGAGGGACATGATCGTTCCCCTCTATTCAACATTGGTGAGGCCTCATCTGGAGTACTGTGTCCAGTTTTGGGCCCCACACTACAAGAAGGATGTGGATAAATTGGAGAGAGTCCAGCGAAGGGCAACAAAAATGATTAGGGGTCTGGAACACATGACTTATGAGGAGAGGCTGAGGGAACTGGGATTGTTTAGCCTGCAGAAGAGAAGAATGAGGGGGGATTTGATAGCTGCTTTCAACTACCTGAAAGGGGGTTCCAAAGAGGATGGCTCTAGACTGTTCTCAATGGTAGCAGATGACAGAACGAGGAGTAATGGTCTCAAGTTGCAGTGGGGGAGGTTTAGATTGGATATTAGGAAAAACTTTTTCACTAAGAGGGTGGTGAAACACTGGAATGCGTTACCTAGGGAGGTGGTAGAATCTCCTTCCTTAGAAGTTTTTAAGGTCAGGCTTGACAAAGCCCTGGCTGGGATGATTTAACTGGGAATTGGTCCTGCTTCGAGCAGGGGGTTGGACTAGATGACCTTCTGGGGTCCCTTCCAACCCTGATATTCTATGATTCTATGATGATTCTAAGATAATGGACTGGCTGACATGGGACTCGATAAAGAATTAAAGGGGAAGTACTGTAATTAATGCAAATTAACGTGGGTTTATAGAAATCCTGTCAAATTAACTTGATAACTTCTTTTCAATGAGATTACAAGTTTGGTTGATAAAAGTAATACTATTGAAGTAATATATTTAGACTTGTGTGGTACCAAGTCAAATGACTACAGAATATTTTGATTAAGAAACTAGAATGATACAAAATCAACATGGAACTCTCATTAAATGGATTAAAAACTGACTAAATGACAGGTCTCAAAATGTAACTGTCAACAGGGAATTATTTTCCAGCAGGTACGTTTCCAGTTGGGCCCTGCAGAGATTGGTTCTTGGCCCTATTTCACATTTTTATCAATGATCTGGAAGAAAACAAAATCACTGAAAGTTTGCAGTTGACAAAAACTGTTGGAGTGGTAAATAATAAAGAGGCCAGGTTACCATCAGTGATCTGGATCATTTGATAAGCTAGTCGCAAGGGAACAATCTGTGTTTTAATATGGCCAAATGTAAATGTATACATCTAGGAACAAAGAACACAGGCCAGATTCACAGGATGGGGGACTCTATCCTGGGTAGCTGTGACTCTAAAAAAAAATTTAAGGGTCATGATGGATAGTAAGTTGAACATGGGCTCCCAAGTACAATGGTGTCGCCCAAAAAGGCTAATGAGACCCTTGGATGCATATACACGGTAATCTCAAGGAGCAGTAGAGAGGTTATATTATCTCTATATTTGGCACTAGGGTGACCATTATTGGAATATTGCATCCACTTCTAGTAACCACAGTTCAAGAAGGATGCTAATAAATTGGAGAGAGTTCAGAGAAGAGCCACAAGAATGATTAAAGGATTAGAAAACCTGCTTTGTGGTGGTAGAATCATAGAAACACAGGATTAGAAGGGACCGCAAGGCTCATCTAATCTAATGCCCTGCCATGATACAGAATTTGTTGTCTCTAACCATCCAAGAGAGATGGCTATCCAGCCTCTTTTTGAAAACCTCCAGTGAAGGAGTTTCCAGTCTGTTCCATTGTCCTACTGTACTTACAGTTAGGAAGTTCTTCCCAAAATTTCATCTAAATCGCTATGCTGTAGTTTGAACCCACTGCCTCTTGTCCTGCCCTCTGCGGCAAGACAGAACAGCTTTTCTCCACCTTTTTTATGGCAGCCTTTCAAATATTTGAAGACTACTATCATGTCCTCCCTTAATCTCCTCTTTTCCAAACTAAACATACCCAGTCCCTTCAGCCTTTGTTCGTTTCATCTCTTTGATCATCTTTGTCG